GAAAGCCATTCATATCAACATATTATAAAGTTTTGCATTTGTCCTAGGGAATGGAAAAACCCTACGTTTGAATTTTCAATTTCCGATTCATTCAACATTCTGATGTTTTAATTTTACCTCCATTATTACACGTCTCCCGACTACCATCTCTGTCATAACCCCTTTAACATTAACATGACACTTGGTGATTTCGTTCCCTTTTCTCTGGAGTACTCACCACAGTTTATATCATTTGTAATTTTTTTGATTTGGTAAGATCCAGTGAACCTTACTTTTCAGGGCTCTCCAGTGACAGGTATCAACACTCACCTTGACGCCTGCGACAAAATTCCAAATTTTAGACTTTTTAAAACCTGCTCTTGTTTCCACTGTTTGTTGAGCACTCTTCAAATACTTTTTTGGGTAACTCGAATCCTCTGGTTCAGTTCTATCGAACTCAAATAAACTGAATGTATAGTCTGAGCTATGGTTTATCATTTTTTCTTGAATCAATTTCAATGGTTCTCTTACCTCATGACCATATCAGTTCAAATTGACTGAATCCTGTGGACTCATTTGGAGCATCCCTAATGGCAAACAGTAAAAAGGGAATTCCTTTATCCTGTAATCATAATTTTCAAATTCAGATGCCATCTTTCCACAGCACCTTAAGGTAGCAGGTAATAAGTGGAAAAAATAATATGTTTTATGCCAAAAGTAGTCTTCATTTCTTTGAATAAAATTTGAATCCTGATCAGATTGTATTTCTTTGGGTAACCAATTAAACTAGCACCTTCATTACTAATTTTGCAGGGCTTTCTCCTCCCCACCCCCACCAAAAAAGGCTGCTTCAGAAATTCTTCTTGAAGCACTAAAAATCAACACAAGCTACTGATTTCACAGTCCTTGTTTTAGTTAGGCATTCTACACAATCTGTTAAGATCTGCTAAATACTTCTTTGGAAATTGATATGGGAATTACCTGACAGAGCACTGCCCACTTCTCATTGACTAATATTTGAGCTGATCTCCATTTTCTTATCACTATTTATCTTCTGAACACCACCACTTGGGTGCAGTTCTAATTCAATTTCTGAAAAAGCTGTGGGCATAACACTCCGTTCAAGATTGAATTGAAACTTCACCCTTTGTTATTTAAATTTTCTAAAAATATATCCAATAATCTGAATTTCTCAGTCATTTGTTTTTCCTCATAGACTGTTCTTCTGATTTAATTTTTGGACCTGTCACAACAGAGTCAGGAAAAATTCCTCCTAAACATTTCAGTTTCTTGTACATGTACTGGTTGCTCCACTATCCTTCAGGAGACCAATATTTTTGAACCAGCTGAGTCATTTCCCAAGATAAAATCCATTTCTTTCAGGGTTTATTTCACTACTCCAATTACAACATCTGCATTTAATCTTTAATCTAACGCTGTATAACAACACCGGTTCGTAACCTCCATGTACACCTCTAACTAACATGTTCTCTTCCATTAATCTTGCCAGAGCAGAAATATTATAATCAATCAACATCAGTCACTGACTTGCTCTAGAGCGTCTGAATATCTAATGGTTTACTTCCTTTCTTTGAAGCACAAAAAACCCTTCTCCTTTTGAGATAAAATATAAAGAACATCCAGTGGTCCGATTCCCCATCAGCAACAGAGGATGAATTTTCTTGACTGTCCTGAGTCACCTCTCCCTTATTAATACATGTTCTTTTGTACTATTGCGACAATTTTAATATATACTTCGTTTCATGGTGGCCCATTTCCTGAGGAGTCCTTAAGATGTGCCTACCACTGCAAACTTGCGTCCCACTTCACTTCAGCGATTGGCCTTGCTATGTCCAGTCTTATCACAATGGAAGCTTGTCTTTATCTTTGTATTACTTTTGGTCCTAGCCTTTCTCCTTTATTACATTGGCATCCTTCCGTTTGTTCCCAAAAACTAGTGCCTCTTCCATCAACATATTTTCTATCTACCAAACTTCCTTTTGATTCCCACATGACCTCACCATCTATAACTGCCCGAGGAGAAATCACAGGAATCTGTCAGAACTGCTGTTTCATTAATCTTTGATACTTGATGTGCATCTAGATAATTTTTTTTAAAACTTTGCAGGAGTCTTCCCTTTAAATTTGTTACATAATCATAACTTTCTTTACATTTCCAAATCTTTTTCTCCAAATTCTAACCTCACTTTTTTTCCCTGTTGCAAATTCTACAGATACCTTATTAGATTTCTTTCCTGCCTTTCTACATTTTAATTGATAAACTTCAAGAGCAAGCTCATAAGCACTGAGTATTACTTTTTTAACAGTTTACCAATTTGCAGACTGTTCTTCTGTTCACATTCATAACTGTACTGTCAAATAGTCTTAAATGAAGTCCAAATAATTTTGGCGTCAACATCTGACCAGCTACCTTTTCAAATGAAGTGAAGTTTCAACTCTCAACTTCATTCTCAGTAAATTTAAGCACTAAATATATATTTGGTTAAATCAGATCCTTCACTGGAAATGGAATCATCCTCCAAGCTAATACCCCTTCTTTTCCTCTTTAATCTAAGCTTTTCTCCAGCCAAGTCATGATGTCTAATTTCCATATCTCTTTTGAGTTCAAACTTCTTTAAATTTCATTCCCTTTTTAGTTAGTGTTTCTCTTCCAACTGTGTTTCCATTGCTGCTCCTCTCCCACTTTATTCTAATAGAATTCTTTTCATTTCTCTTTTTTTTTAAACATTCTAACTCTATTGTAGCTAATTCTAGCTGTCATGTTTCCCCTCTTCCAATTCTAAATGTTGAATAAACACTTTCAACATCACCTCTTGACAAATACTGCTTTTATTTCTACCTTTGATTTATCTGCTATCTCAACTTAGCCTTATTTAAAAGATTTCAAATAACCCACTGTTATATCTTAGGTTCCCATAAAACTTGTGGCACTGAAAGTTAAAATCCAATCTGTGTAATAAACTTCACAATACACCTGCATTATTATGTTCAGCAATTTTCCACGTACCTGTTTCGAGAAGTGACACAATTCCCACTTAAATTCAATGAACTCAAATCCCGGATAGAGCTACACTTGTTATGATCCCAGCTCTTAAGAGATCAAATTAGGATAAGGAATGAAATCAGCCTTAACTCTATTAGATGTATGTTTTGGTTTTGTAAACATAGTGTACATCCACCAAACCTCAGGCACACAAGGCTGCAAAGTTTCTTTAATAACAGAAATTTAGTACGTAACATGAAAAACTTTAGAACAAATAAAGCTATCTAAATATGGAACATCGGTTCAAAAGGTCTTTAAAAAAAAAGCTAAATAAAGTCTTGTCACATTTTGCAGCACTGTCTGTTACAGAGGCTCCAGAGCCCAGAAATCTAGAGTCATTACTCCCCTATATCAAATCTTCTCTGTTCATTCTTAGGAATTGTGAACTCTTCTTACATGAATAGTCAAAACTGAAAACTTTGCCTTTCCTAGCTTTTAATAACCTGCAGATTTCTAACCAATATATCTGGTTTGCAAGTTTCACCAACTAAACTTTTACACTGAGCTAACTGTGTTTTCCATTAAATAGCCCATACACTTTTCTAGAAGAGAAACTACGTTCACTTCCAACACCAGACAAGTCTCCTCCGAAACTGTCTAAAAGATTTCGGACTGAGTTTTCTAAGCCAATGTCAATCCTTAATATACTGAAACACAAATATGCTAAAGGCCTTTAATATCTACCATGGCATAAACCACAACCATAGAAAATAATCTTTCATCAGCACTCCAACGTGCCACGAACTCTTACGCACGATGGGTAAGGCCACTGTTCCAGAAGCAACACTACACGAGCGCATGCGAGCCAACACACCAGAAAGAGACTGAGACGGCGAGGGCGCGGGCCAGGTCAGGGCGCAAGAGACGGCGAGG